TTAATTTAAATATTTAGCTTACAAATAAATCACTGTACAGTTAATTTCTACAGATATATTTTACAATCACATTTCAATTAATGTAATGATACAATATTACAACTTTAAAATATACAAAAGGTAACATATGCTTATTACCTATCTATGGGACAAGGCCCATTCCATAAAACACCAAAAACAACTGGATGCTTCAGCTTACATATCTAATAAGAAATACTCTCATCTGTACTATATATAATACAATACTCATGATTCAAATAAATATATTCTCTGAGATGATAAACTGAAGATTAAGCTTTAATTTATATTTTAAACTTTCACTCTTCTTACAAACAGTGATATTAGCTAAATATAAATATTATAAAGATATAGAATGTTAATAAAGTAGATACTTACTTCCAGGTCTGGTCTAAAGGTCTCAAGTCTTCCAAAGTCATAAAATTCTTTGTCTAAATAATTCTGTAAAGTTTAACAATGCCAACCTGGCCAAAACCTCTGAGTTGTCTGACTAAAGCATCTGAGAACTACTCAGAACCACAACCAATAAAAAGACAGAACCCCAAGAGAATGACCTTGAACTTTATCGCTCACAAGTATTTGTAAAGGGGTGGATCTAAGTTTTATATTAAACTCAATTTCATTTACCCGGTATATCAATAATACCCCTATTTATTCCATATTGTATGTTTTATAATATATACAATTAAAAACACACTGCTACATATTAATTCTAAGGTTATAAGAATTAGCCGTGGCTTTATATCCAAGGGTTCTTCTGAACATTTCTTATAAAATAATGAAGTTATAATTATGGCGTTTGAACCCTAGTTACGTCCTGTATTTGAACAGTTTGAAGTTTTTTCAAACCAAAGGAACTGTGTAGGAAGTCTTGAAGAAAGCCCTGTAGTTCATACTGCTTTAAAATTACCTCCTCTGATCAGAAACTTCCCTGGGTATGTTAGCTAAAACAGTGTTATAGGTCTGATTATTTAATATGCATAATTTTTATGCGCCCGAATTTTTTCGGGGTGCATATTGTTTTTGTCCTGTCTGTTTGTCTGTTTGTCTGTTTATCTGTTTGTCTGTTTGTCTGTCTGTCTGTTGTCAACTTTAACCTTCGCCAAAACTTTTGAACCGTAAGAGATAGAGACTTCATATTTGGTGTGCATACTCCTCTAATAAAGTTCTTTCAAATGACATCAAGGTCAATGACCATATGACCTTGACTGTGACCTATATGCTAAAAATAACTTTTTCCACTTTTTGCCATAACTTTTGAACCATAGGAGATAGGGACTTCATATTTAGTATGCATACTCCTCTAATAAAGTCCTTTCAAATGACATCAAGGTCAATGACCTTGTGACCTTGTCTGTGACCTATATGCTAAAAATAGCTTTTTCAACTGTTTGTCATAACTTTTGAACCATAAGAGATAGAAACTTCATATTTAGTATGCATACTCCACTAATAAAGTTCCTTCAGTTGACATCAAAGTCAATGACCTTGTGACCTTGACTGTGACCTACGGTATATGCTAAAAATAGCTTTTTCCACTTTTTGCCATAACTTTTGAACCATAGGAGATAGGGACTTTATATTTAGTATGCATACTCCACTAATAAAGTTCTTTCAAACAACACCAAGGTCAATGACCATGTGACCTTGACTGTGACCTATATGCTAAAAATAGCTTTTTCCACTTTTTGCCATAGCTTTTGAACCATAAGAGATAGAGACTTCATATTTAGTATGCATACCCCACTAATAAAGTTCTTACAAACAACACCAAGGTCAATGACCTTGTGACCTTGACTGTGACCTATATGCTAAAAATAGCTTTTTCGAACTTTGTTGACGCCGGGCGCATAGTGTTTCAAAAACACATCTTGTTTTATTTTGTTTTTTCCCTCACTTTGTTCATTTCTTTTCTTCTTGAAGAGACTTTGTGATTATGCCATGTATAATATTTTTGTCTCATTTCTTTCTAGCTGCAGTGTTGTGGACTGAACTCTAGCAGTGATTTCTGTAATCTAGTTTCCTGCTCTTCACCTCCATACACATGTTGTCACACACTCTACCAAACTCAGAATAGCCAAATATACTCCGATACTAATTGCTATTTTGAACAAACGGTAAAATTCTTTTAACATTCGTTAAACTTTCAATCACCTTCCAGGTTTAGTTCTCTTCTTTCCTGGACATCTCTTTGTTGAATGTCATACCTTTAAAGTTTAAATTAACCAGAAAAGTCATTAAGTAAATTTACACAGACTTAAATCTATTTAAGTAGTCGCAATTCTCTCATTAAAATGAATACTAGTGACAGAAAGGCTAATAGATTTTCAATGTATTCTTTAGATGATTTTTCGCCATAATTATAAATCAAATATATTATGTCTGTTTTGCAAAGCAAGCAAAAATAAATACACACTGGGAGATCTGACACAATTGTGAAATTGTGTAAGATATGAAAATCAACACAAAATTAAAAAATACCTCTTTTATATGACCTTAAACAAATAATATAGATATATGTTTGTTATTGTAGGGTTGCCTGGATAAAATACCTACTGTTTTGGGGTTTTATACCACCGGCTTTTTTATTGCCATTTCCATTTCAATTCTTTTTGGGGTAAGTGATTTTAACTTTTAAATCATGAAGTTAAAAGCGTTACTACGACTTAATATTTTGTAATTACCTGTTATATTTCAGGGTTTATCTGTTTTGTTCACAATTTTCCAAATAAGTTCTTTGCCTTCAAAAGATGTTCATGACAAAAACATTCTAAAGAACGATTCCCCTGAGACACCCAGGGATGAGGAAAACAAAGGCATCTGCAAACGATGTTTTCAGTATTGCACAAGGTAAGTTAATTACATTAATTAATTAAGTTAATTGTGTGCGTACACAGAAATATTACAGAAAAGTTCATCCTTCCTTGGAATAAAATTTCATTTAAATTAAGCTTTTTTTTAACTTTTTTTTAAATGCTGGGACACACTGTCCAAATCTTAGGACGCTTCTAGTTACGGTCTTACTTCGAACACATGGTTTTACGATGCAATATTTAACGCAAAGAAAGCAATTAAATAATTATAGGTTCTTTTATTTTAATAAATTGCAAAGTTTAGAAATTGAGGAAGATCACCCAAGACCTTATTAAGAAATCAACTGATTTTTCCACGTTACGAAGATACGATGCATGTAATAAGTAGTGTATAGAAAAAAATACATAGAGAGAAGCTGTCGCTTGTACCATAAGAAAAAAAAAAGAAAACAGACGTTATTAAATTACTAATTAACTACATGGAAGATATTGGAAAGATTGAAATGCATTTTCAGTGATATTTTAGAGTATTAAATATAACTACTCTATTTATCATTTCTACGCGTGCGTGCTAGTCATTTCTAAGCTAGATCTATAACTCTTCGTCATCTTCATATTAAATTTCGATTTATTTTCCTAAATTATAAACAGTCTTGCTATAGTCTTATCAAATCTTGCCACATCTACTGCGTATGTAAATTTCTCTAGTATTCAAGTTGCTGGACACCAAAATATAAAAGGTACGAACACATTTGTAGAACTCTCGCCATGTTTTTATGCATTAATTATCAACGCCATTTCATTGACTTTTTTTTATTTGACATATGTCCCATTTTAAGACGGAAGATCACCACTATCAAAAACTACGAATTGAAACTTTTCTTTTTTAGCGATTTCCCATGCTTGATTCTGATGATTGCTGCAGTTCTGTCTGTTGTTAGTACATCTTTTACTTCGTTCGAACATATGAAATTGAATTGTAAAAAAGACTTTCCATATTCCAGTGTATATTATAATACAAGTACATGTAATTTACATTTTTTTTCAGCTATTCGGTGGTGTTTTCATAATGGAGGGGATATTCCTCAGCTATGATAAAGTTTTTAACCATGATATCATTGATGATGTAATATTCAGCAACCTATCATTTGACGGACTGAACTTCTATCATATCAGAACATCATTGTGTGCCTACATGTTTTCTTGTGGAATAATTCTTATCATTTTTTGTGGAATTGGGATGTTCACACTCAGGAAAAATTCAAAATGCTTGCACGTCACAGTAAGTTAAGAGTTTTATTTATTTATTGTTGATATTGAAAGCCTATTGAAATTGCTGTTCTGAAATAAAAAAAATACAGCCAGTGATTAAACATATTTATGTTATGGTACATGATCTACCAGTAATATGGTCGTGCTATTTTTTTGGCCAAAAATGTACTTTGCATAGATAATTGTATAAGTTTACAAGTGAAAAAAGATACATGTATCACCTATAGTCACAAATTCAGTTCCCAGTCCATTAGAACCAAATTTCTTATTAAATATGCTTTTTTGATATTGCAGCAAGCAATCCTTGTCGGTATTGTTTTAGCTTTGATGATCATTGGTACTGGTCTGTGGGGGAAAATAAAAGACACGGTATTCGGCTTCAGTCATATATATTATTTAAATGCTTATGATAGGTTTTATGTTAACATTTCTTTTTACTGAATTCTTCTAAATTACAGATTAGTTATAGAATGGAAGATGAGATGAAATTGTTCCTCGAGAACCATAAATACAACCCGCACTTATCGTATGTGTATTCATACAGCTCCTATGGAGCTTGGAGCAACCTGTTTGCTGTGGTATCTATAATTTACATACAATAATTATACAGTGATTGGCTAAGTATCGAATAGATTTATTTTATGTATTTTTTAAAGTTAAAAATGTGATAAGCAAAGAAGTCAGCACACATTTATTTTGAGTCGCAATTTACTTCTGTCCTCAAGAAGAATGGACACTAAGAACGAAATTTTGGTCGCCCTCCCATCAGCGTTCATACTGTTACAATTTCTACTTCCAGGCGGAATGTTGTGGGGTGGCTGATCATGAAGGTAGTGAATTGGCTTCTTATCTGTCTGGTAATGATGAGATACCTATTTTCTGCTGTAAAGAAAATCCGTTAACGGAACCGTATAGAACCAATAACGATGATTGCACAGATTTAGTAGATCTGGACATGTCCTTTAACACGGTGAGTAGACATTAAAATGATGAAACTAAATTTGATATTTGTAAATAAGTTATAACTTTTCAAATGCAAACTAAACTATCGGCGGGAACAGAATGTTTGTGTTCTGTGTAGTATTACAACTTTGTTCGGAAAAAAAATTTAAAGTAAGTATTTTGGGCTATATTTGAAGTACTAGTACAAACAGTTGATTTATTCTCATTAGTCCTGTAAAGATGCCCTGCTGACAAGACTAGATGCCTACAGCAATACCTTCTTCTCCTGTAGTGGATTGACAATATTTCTCTTGGTATGTATCAGCTATCCTTTTATGAAAAGTATCCGTAATTACTGATAAATATCCTTGTGAAATGTCAATTGAGAGGGTTTGTTTTAAGCAGTCTTTGTTTGAAGTAATCTCTCTACTTACATCAACCCTCAGTGAAATTTTATTTTAATAATGAATACATTTAACTCTGAGATTTATTTTCCTACAGATTGTTCAACTAGGTCTCATCATATATAGGATAACAAAACTTCAATTTGTCCCTCTTCAGTCAGACAAGTACTTTAATCTGTTTAAAACTAAAAGAGGATGGAGGTATGAGACTTTTTTTATGTATGTGGTAATATCTTCACAACTATGTAATGTATTGAAATGCATTTAGACTTTCCTATTTCATTTGATATCTAGCAGGCAGACTGATTGTATGGTTTTATTAAATACTTATATTTTACTAAAAAATTGAAATCCATAGGTCGAGCTTTAGGATGAGGCTTCGTTAAACATACTGAAATTAAAAAAATTAAAAATTAATGATCAAAATCTTTCTTAAGAACATATTTTTCAACTATATGTATTACACATTAACTGTACTTTTCTTTGAGAAGTGATTTAGCATTTTAACGTTTATTTTGAAGGGAAATTTTGATTCTAGAATGGAGGACTTTATTCAGTTTCCTTTCAACGGTAAGTCACCAGTAGAAGTACATGTAGCTGCAAAACTGTAGCTCTCTGCTTGAGAAAATTTGGACAGATAAAGTAAAAAGCTACAAATCCAAGCTTAGAAATCTTTTTTTCACCGCCGCTTTTTTTTGTAGCTCTCTTTTGGTATTATTTCTTGAAGTTTATGCTTCCCCCCACTTTTAGAACGGTATCCGTTAATTAATTATAAGTTATACTTCAACTATTTATACTGTTTTTACCTTTCATAGTTCCGAAATAGTCTTTTATCGTTTTGGAATATCGGTTTTCAAGAAAGATTCCGATTTCGATGTCCGCAATCACAAACGACCGTTGGAACCTTTGGAGGGTAAATGAATATCAGGAATAGGAGCTAAATACTACAGTGCGGGGGTTGTTCGAAAAGTTCGTGGACTTCTGTCATATCCTTTTTATTTGACGTTATATGTTATCCAAATTTGATAGAAATATTTAAACACTAAATTCAACTATTTACATTAGCTCTGTTTTTCTACTAATCAAACATTGAAATGGATTTGAATACCTTTTTCGTGTATCCTCACGCGTAGAAGTACAATGAAGCGCATTAACGTTGTAAAATTTTCCGTTCGAATGGAACGTTTTGAGCTATCTTTAGAACATTTATTGTCATCTTTTGACACGCCCATTTTTTTAGAAATCGATAAAACGCTCAATTTGTTTATTCGAATAATTGTAGAACAGGTTTTCCATAAATATAATAGCCAATCAAATTGACGGTCTAAATAAATACATGTACCGAGTAAACACCTCTTTGACCGAAACATGTATTGTGGTAACTTCAATAGACATGATAAGTTCAAAAATATGTACATATTCGTTTCAATTTGTGTTTTACAGAAGCGGAGAGTCTCTAACTCTCTCTTCTAATTTTTTTAAAGCTCCATTTCAGTGTAACTCATGTTGCTAGTCGCAAAGAATGGGGTGTTCTAAACATAACGACGAAATTCAATATTTCTTTCTCGTTTCTAAAAATATGGGCGTGTCATTACGTTGTAATTGACGTTCAAAAATGACTCAGAACGTTTTATCCAGACGGAAAATTTTACCACTTCAATGCGCTTCATTGTACATGTATATACACGGAGAAACGTGCGTTAACGCGACGTCACAAAGAGGATACAGCGACGTTAGTAAAAATGCAACGATATAGAGCAGCGAGAAATTCAAATAATAAGTATATTTTAGTTGCTTCCACACATGTAAAATGAAAATATAAATAATAGTTGTTTTTTTTTAAAGTTTAGTGTGAATTATTGGTGTGAGAATCACACAGACTTGCACGTAGGCATATTTTTCAAGAAGCGCTTGTGCGCTTCATGTAATATGCCTACATGTACGTGACAAGTCTGTGTGATTCACACACCAATAACTCACACAAAACTTAAAAACATTCCATAAATGATCTCAGATGAGATTTTCAGATTTGTATCATTTTTTTAAATGTCACAATTTATTCAAAATCTTATTCAGATTCTAAAAATGCAAAAATCGAATCGGGGAGAATGTCAAAATTTAGTAAGTTACAAACAATGCACAAAGATATCGTCTGTAGTCATATTCTCTGTAAAATCGAGAAAAAACAACCTTGATATTTGAATTTAGAATTGTTACATTTATTCGCACTCCAAATTATTAATATTTTGCTTTGTGAAAGCAGAGTTGAGTAATATAAGAAATTTAAAAATTAACAAAGGAAATTATACAACGAGAGCAATTCTTATATATTTAAAAATGTAAAGTATTAGAAAAGGATTTAATGGGTGGCGATTGGATTGTACTGCTTGAAATGTATAGGGATAGTATTTTTCATTAGAAATTCTTGACTAGATATTTTTGTACGTTACATTTCACTAAGTGTGCTCCGCGGGTACAAAACATGTAGATTTTAAAATTAGGTAAATTGATATCTGTTAAATCGAATGTAATGAAACCTCACACATCAACAAAACAAATATTTTTGCACATTGTGATTATTTTAAATGTCTAGTGAGTAATATAACGAAGATTTACATTGTCTACGAACTTTTCGAAAAACTCTAGTATATGGTTAATTTTCGGATATCATTTCTAAAGCCGGGAAAACTTTTAAATACAATTGTGTTAATGCTAAAAAATAATTCGAGAAAATGTGAAGGGTTGGGCACTGTACGGTGTTCGGGAATTTTTAGGTCACCTGAGTAAACTCAGGTGACCTATTGCTATCCGTTTTCGTCCGTCGTCGTGTGTTAACATTTGAACATTTTCAGCTTCTTCTCTGCAACCACTCAACCAATTTCCACCAAATTTTACACAAAGCATCTATGGGTGAAGGGGAACAAAAATTGTGAATTTCATGGTCCCTGCCCCCCTGGGGCCTGTGGGGTGGGGCCAAAACCACTAAAATCAGTGCAATCTTTAAAAATCTTCTTCTTTACTCCTGGACATCAAGCAATCAAACTGTTAGCATGAATGTAATGACCATTGAGTCCTCTACCAAAATTGTGAAATTCATGGCCCCAGGGTCAGGGGTTCTAGTGCTAGGGCGGGGCTCTATTGATCATATAGTGAAAAATGCATTATTTCTTTAAAAATCTTCTTCTCTGCTCCTGGGTATTAAATAAACTAATTAAAGACATAATTATGATGAGCAAGAATGCCTTTTACAAAATTGTGAATTTCATGGCCCCAGGGTCAGGGGTTCTAGTGTAAGGGGGGGGGGCTCTATCGATTATATAGAGAAAATGCAGAATTTGTTTGAAAATCTTCTTCTCTGCTCTTGGGTATTCAAAGAATTAACTAAGTATATAGTTATGATGAGCAAGAATGCCTCTTCCAAAGTTGTGAATTTTATGGCCCCAGGGTCAGGGGTCCGGGTGTTAGGGTGGGGCTCTATTGATTATATAGAGAAAATACAGAAATTGTTTGAAAATCTTCTTCTCTGCTGCTTGGTATTCAACGAATTAACAAAGTATATAGTTATGGTGAGGAAGAATGCCTCTTCCAAAATTGTGAATTATATGGCCCCAGGGTCAGGGGTTCTAGTGTTAGGGTGGGGCTCTATTGATTATATAGTGAAAATGCATTATTTCTTTAAAAATCTTCTTCTCTGCTCCTGGGTATTAAATAAACTAACTAAAGACATAATTATGACGAGAAAGAATGCCTTTTGTAAAATTGTGAATTTCATGGCCCCAGGGTCAGGGGTTCTAGTGTAGGGGGGGGCTCTATTGATTATATAGAGAAAATGCAGAATTTGTTTGAAAATCTTCTTCTCTGCTGCTTGGTATTCAACGAATTAACTAAGTTTATAGTTATGATGAGCAAGAATGCTTCTTTCAAAATTGTGAATTTCATGGCCCCAGGGTCAGGGGTCCGGGTGTTAGGGTGGGGCTCTATTGATTATATAGAGAAAATACATTATTTCTTTTAAAATCTTCTTCTCTGTTCCTGGGTATTAAATAAACTCAATAAGTACATAGTCATGATGAGGAAGAATGCCTTTGTGAATTTTATGGCCCCAGGGTCAGGGGTTCTATTGTTAGGACGGGGCTCTATTGGTTATATAGAGAAAATGCAAAAAAAGTTTGAAAATCTTCTTCTCTGCTCCTGGGGATTAAGCAGATGAACTACCTATATACATGTAGCTATGATGAGCAAGGGCCATTCTTCCTGAATTGTGAATTTCCACACCCCTGGGTCAGGGGTACCATAGAGGGTGGTGGGGGGCTCTACTTATACTGAAAATGAATTAATTGATTGAAACCTACTTTGTATTAATCAAATATTTTTGATAAGCAAGGGTGCCCTATAAGGCCCATGGGCCTCTTGTTTTTAGCGGGGTGGTAATTCTGGCTTATTTTTTAGCTTTTTAAGCAGTTCGCTAAAAGTTTTATGTGCACCCTTGTTGTTTAGTTTCTAAATGAAAAGAAGTTTTACTTGAAAAAATAGGAATCAAAAAAGGGGATTCAAGAATTAGACAGGTATCACTGTATATGGTTTTGTGTATTGTTGATTTCAGTTTTGATAAACTGTTACCTTAGTTAGCAATGACAGAAAAAAGTGTTGATGCAATATTTATTGAATATATCTAATACATTACGTTTTTTATCGAATTTCTATTCCAAGAACGATGATGTTATGGTTATTGAAATACAATTTTGATTTATTTTACAGTTATTATTATAGTTATTATGTTAAGTATAAACTTAAGTAATCCCCGAGATGTAAATAAACTCCTATAGATGCCATGTCGCCATCCATTACGTTCTCGGTTATATGACTTCAAACAACACTTTGTTCATTTGAAACAGAGTAAATCTAAAGTTAATTATTAACTATATATTTTCAGTTGTCATCGCTTAGTATGCTGCTATTAGGAATTGTTTTGATGTATGACAGTAAGATGACGGGGATTAACGTTTACCACGTATACAAGTACATTTACCTAAGAGGTGTTAACTTCATTGACATTGTGGAAGCCATGTACCTTTCCCTCATCGTCTTGGGTGTTTTATCGATGGCTCTTGGTCTTGTTGGACTGTCAGAGCTGTTCAGAGACATACGGAGCGAAGTCAGAATAAAATTTGTAAGTTTTATTTTGTTGACTTATAAACAAATGTAATAAAACAGTTTACAGTGTAAAATTTTTGATAAGAAAAAAGGTCCTCCAAATCACAAAGCCTTTGAAGTATCAGGAGATCTGGAAGGTAGGAGAAAAAAGTAGCCACTGTTAGTCGTACGTACCCACAGTGAGCGCTGTGTTTCGATTAAGTAGACGTAGCAATCCATAATCAAATTTTATTTTGAAAACAATGCCTTATTAATAAAGATTAATCACATCGGACAAAAATTAGACCCAGGTTATGATAGCGATCGTTGGATTTGCAAAAAAAAAATGACTCTATGTAAAGTTGTTAGAATTCTAACATCGTCAACCTAGTTGTAAGAAGCTAGTCTCAGTTTAAAATTTGATTGTACTCAGAGCGTGCTAGCTTTTTTGACATGATGTTTACCATGCCGATTAGTTATTACTAAGTAATTGCCTTTTATCGTTTATAGTCAGTAAACATCCAAATGTTTAACAAATGTGAAGGCCGCTGTAAGGGCTTGTATTTCGAATTCTGCATGTAAAAGAAGTCTAGCTGTGACCCTCAATTCAACATTTAAATATATATTTACAACATGCATTTCTTCGTTGATCCAATATATCCCTTTATTACATTTTTACCCGTGAAATACTGTAAAATATTCACTGAATAAAAATGATATCCTGTCACAGTGTGAAAGGATAGCAAAATGATATCCTGTCACAGTGTGACGAATATCAGAAGTGCGGGAAAACTCTCGATTTCCTTTCTCATAATGAAGATTTCTGTAAAAAAAAAATCTTCCTTGACCTAATGTGAGATAGATGGAAATAATTAAACCATTTTGACAGCGAATAAAACTGTCAAAATTACCAAAAATATGTTGTCAAATTCATGTTTACAGTGTTTTCACCTCACTTAGCTATGACGTCTCAACCGCTCAACTATGACGTCACGAGCCCATGACTGTATTACAAAAAGACAGGGGCAAAGGAAAAATCAAAGAACGTTTTTTTTTAAAAATGTAATAAACAGAAAATTCAATGTTTTGTAGTTGAATATGGAATTTATTTCACTCGTGAGACAGGATTTGCTTCGCACTCGTGAAAATATAAAAAATCCTGTCCCACTCGTGAAATAAATTCCATATTCAAATGCAAAACATTGAATATCCTCCACATCATCTTGAAATAAGAAATACCACAAAGATTGAAACGTCCGTTTCATGTTTGTATAGTATTATTATTTTTAGAAAAAGACATAAGAAACCTTACAACAAAAACTTATAATTAACTTGATGACCTCAACTATTCCATAGTGAACTTCCCTTATTACGAGGGGCGTTCAATAAATAATGTCATTAGCTCGATTACATACATCATAGTAGTCATATGACATAAAGCTTGACTTTCTCTAATTATTGAATCTTTAATGAATTAATAACAGTTTATGTGACCACTTTTCATCACGTAGTTTTAACGTGAGAAGCTGGGAAACAAGGGCTACTCGAGACACTGCATTATAAATGAATGGTGAAGAATCAGTAAACTAGAGTGAAAATAAAAGCAACATTAAAGCTGCTGTAAAACTTGTTAAAAATCCCAAAGAAATATTCACTGAAATATGTGACATTTACAGCAACCGATGCCTGTTTTATAGACAAATTAGCATGTGGATTTCAAAGATAAAAATTTATATAATGGGCATCAAAAATGGGTACCCTCCTTGCCAACAAAAATTATAACAACTTATGTACTGTTTGCCAAATTTCAACAAATAATATTTGATGTTGTATGATTGACTTTAAGACACATAGAAAATTTGATAGACATCATATCGGGAGTAGTTTACACTGTTTTTAAGAAACGTTTGACAGTAATTAAGCTTGGTACTCTAAGGTCACCCTGTATTTTGAAAAATTAGTGAAAACGACAGCGTGTACAAAAGTCTTAACAATTATTTTAAAATATCAGTAATTGTAATAATCCACGTTTGTTTTATATTCAAACAGATATTGGAACATGAATCTATTGCTTAAAACCATTAAAACAAAATTTACCATAAGATGTACTTGATAAAAACGGAAAAGGTCTGTCAAGAGCAAAGGTATACAAGAGCACAAAAACAGATTTCTATGCAATTTTCTTAAATATTTGTGGTATTATTTTTCAAATTCGTATTCGGGGAGACAGTTAATATCTGGAAGTGTCTAGAAAGCAGTTTTTTTAGCAAAGAAATCGAAAGGTTTATCAGAGAAAGGACCCAGAATCAGGAATCAACTACATTGAATGTCTTCATGACAGCGTTTAAATCCGCTGGTCCTAAAGAGTAAAGGGGTTTACGGGCTAAACAGAAAGTTAATGTTTTTCACATTAACAATATTTGCCAGATCTTTGATCTTTTGACTTGTTTCTATTTCCAAATTTGAATAAAACACGTTTCAGAAGGAAAAAACAAGTCCAGGAAATCATTGGATTTGCCATTTTCCAGTATACTAAGGGTCATACCCAAAAATGAGTTCTAAAAACAATCAGAAAATGGTTAAAAAATGTTACGGACAAGTGTTTGAATTGAAATAGATTAATAAGTAAAATCATGAAGACTAAATCATTGAAAAGCGTCGTTTGCTTCTTTCTGAGCCCCAATGACATTATTTATTGAACACCCCTCGTAAAGGTAGGATTCTTCTCACACAAAACTTGTTTCTTGTATTTAAAAATTATAGAAATTATCACTGAATCAAGAAAACAATATCACTAAGTGATGGTATAAGTTAGATTAGTTTTGGCCATTTCTTATTACAGTCAAGGTCACGTCAAGGCTTTTGCTTTTTACCTGGACTTTTAGAATGAAATAAATATTCTTCCATTCATGCAATACGGTCCTCTTTTTCAGAAGATTAAATGTTTTTTTTTTCTTTTTGCATAGAAAGATGTTACCATATAAGGATTTAAGATGTTATTACTAAATTAACACATAGTTTAATAAAAGTTTAATAAAAATGGATTTGGGCTAATCCGAATTTTCTCTATTTTTATTAAATTTTTAGGATATATTAATTATTTTTAAATGTGTCCTATATTTAAATTGTCTAATTTTCACATGTGTTAAAGAGGTCATATAGAGATACAAAGTGAAACAAAAACAAAAAAGTTTTGACCATTTACTAAGAGAGTAAAAACACTTTCTATGGATTTTTGACTCATATCTGTATTCAGATTGGAAGCTTCTAAAAGCTTATATAATTGTAATTTGTTTTCAAAATCATATTTATTTAATATATTTTAAAACTTAAGTCCCTTATCATTAATTTAACTAACATTTGAAAAATCTTTCAATTATTTGATTGTGTAAAAATTATGACTAAATTCATTCTTCTACAATAATTTTAGTTTTAGTTTTAGTAATATTTGAAAAATCTTTTAAGTATTTGATTGTGTAAAAGTTATGACTAAATTCATTGTTCTACAATAATTTTAAGAATCAAAAAAGAAGATATTTTCATACGCTACTATTTCGCCAAAAATATAGTTCCTGCTAGATTTTAAACTCAGTTTATCATATCTATTTAAAGTTCCACAATTGTGATGAGAAAAGAAAAATATGATCCTTTAAATCTCTTACATCTAAATACTGAGTATATCAGAGATATAAGCCAATATACATTGAACATTTAGTCAGAAACCAGAGAAAAATCCTACCTTAAGTACCATATACCATTAATTTCTGCATATGAAATTTATGTCTCAAAGTTCATTCGATACGCAAAAGCATGTTTCACGTTCAAAAAATTCCTGAAACGAGGCAAGCTACTGAAAAACAGATGAGGAAAGAAATATATGTAGATAACAAATAGCATTCAAGCTCAAAAGTCCATTAAACAATACAAAACAGGAGCTGAGCAAACAAAGGCCTCCAAAGCACCGGAGGTGGAATCGGGTGCAATCGAGGAGTGAGTATCCCTTGCCGACCGGTCACAACTATCTTGTGCTCTTTGTCATGATCGGGAAATAATGGAAAACCTACCGACAATTCAGTGTGTGTTAGAAATGAAGCCTTTTAATATTAATTTTAGAGTACATGTGTAAATAATCATAAATATTTTTCTGTTCTGATTTTATTGACGAAGCAATTGTATATGATGCCATAAAGCCTGCTTTTCACTTCTCATTTGAAAATTTGTATGAAGCGTAGAAAATCATATCTGATTTTTAAAACCTTTGAGATATTAAATGTTCAAAACATTCGTTAGAGTTTCTTAGATTCCATTCTAGTGACATCACTTCTTGAATATATTATTTTTCTTCCTTTTTAGTACATGTATTCTTGAATATATTATTTTTTTTCTTCTTTTTTTAGTATGTTTTTGCATTGATCATCTTGATTTCCACCAAATTTGTTTGTGTTTTTCTGATGATACCAATACAAATAGAAGTGAGTAAGATATATTAAGTTTATATTTTAGCATACATCGTTTGCCGAATTCTCAGTTTATCAGTATATGAAGGGAATTATATTACGTGTAATCATTTTAGTTTTTTTATGCGCCCGGATCGATAGATCCGAGGCGTATATTGTTTTTGTCCTGTCTGTCTGTCTGTCTGTTTGTTTGTTTGTTTGTCCCCAAACTTTAACCATCGCCATAACTTTTGAACCATGAAAGGCAGAAACTTCATATTTGGTATGCATACTTTACTAATAAGGTGCTTTCAATTGACACTAATATTAATGACCATGTGACCTTGAATGTGACCTGTATGCTAAAAATAACTTTTCTGTCTGCAAACTTTAACCTTCGCCATAACTTTTGAACCATAAAAGATAGAGACTTCATATTTAGTATGCATACTACACAAATAAAGTTCTTTCAAATGACACCAAGGTCAATGACCTGGTGACCTTGACTGTGACCTATATGCTAAAAATAGCGGTTTTGTAATTTTCACCATAACTTTTGAACCATAAAAGATAGAGACTTCATATTTGGTGTGCATACTCCACTAATATAAGTTCTTTCCAATGACTTCAAGGTCAATGACCTAGTGACCTTGACTGTGACCTATGCAAGTATGCTTAAAATAGCTTTTTAGATTTTTGTTGCCGCCGGGCGCATTGTGTTTCACAAACACATCTTGTTGAATTAGAAATGTTACATTCAATGAACATTATTGGATTAAATTTTAAGTAAACTTTTTTTTAATTTTTAGGTGGAGAGTGATTCTAACGAGACTATCTATCAGTTTGTTAATATGGATCGTCAATACTCAAATCCTGATTCTACTATGTATACGGATCTCAATAGGTTTTATTTGGAAGTAAGTATAGGACATATTTTATGCAAAGGAAAGTCCAAATTTTGATTCCTCGACACCAGAATATAGACTCGGATCTGTGATTATGGATATTGCATATCATAGGCTTTTTAAACCCGCACGTTTTGCGGAAGAAAATGCAGCCAAAACTATCCGTCTTTTACTTTAACTTCAATATGCTAATAAAGAACTTGACGCGGTTAATATAAGTAATATTCTTAATCACAAAAGGGTTTAGTCTTGTATTCCACCACATCTTAAGTTAAAGACTACACCTTATATTACGTGGAGACCGGTCTTTCGGATGAGACCGTATAAACCGAGGCCCCGTGTCGCAGTAGGTGCTGGCACGAAAAAAATCCCTCACTGCTCAAAGGCCCTGATTGCCGAGCATAGGACAAAATTTGTAGCCTCCACCGGCAAGTGGTGGCGTCTCCATATGAGTGAAAATTTCGAGAGAGGGACGTTAAATAACATAAAACCAATCAATCAATCTCATACTTCCTTTTCTAAAGAAGAAATTTTTAGAAGTCAAATGTCTGTTTTAAATATTTTTCATAATCCACAGAGCCAAAATGAATCTGAACTACCTTAAATATACGTATTGGATTCCGAAAATTCATTGTTGTTTCTTTTTAATGTCTAAAACACCATAAAATGCAGAATTTGTTGTAGTTTCTTCACATTATTTCAAAATAGTTTTATCTTTATGCATTACTGAGAAATCACAGGTCAAGTGCAAAACAAAATTTTAAGACTTCAATTTGTTAAGAAATCATAGTAATTTGAGGTTTGAAAATTTTGTCTTGACAATATTTTATAATTTAATCTCAATGGTTTAAGTATCCTTTTGTTTATCATTTAAGATAAGAAAATTTGAATAATTCTGCAGGTTTCAGTGAAAAAATCATAAAAATTGAGCTAAAACTGACTTCACAACAAGTTTTTATAAAAATAGGTTTTTCAATGAAATACATAGCGTAAAAATAAAATTATGACTCACTTATGGCCAGGTACTGTACATTGCGGGTTCCAGTAAATGTTCAACCAAGCCTCTTTCGTTACTCCTCATTAAAATATTGACAGTAGTGAAGGAAAACTTGAAGAGTACTGTGCAGCTATATATTCAAGAAGTGGTGTGAATCAGATGTGGATACTAAAAAATTCCAAAGAACTTTTGGACAATTTGAAATCACAAGATTACTCCAAAATCAACAACTTAAAAACTTACGACTTTTCAACTTTATACACAACCATTGACCAGGATAAATTTAAGTCCAAGCTTTTTTATATCATTGGCAGCTGTTTTTTCAATAAAAATGGAACTTGTAAATTTACTTACCTGGTCATTGGACATTTGCAAAATTATTTTGTTAAAAAGATTCTGATTGCACACACAAGTACTCTGAAGTTGACATCAAGAAGATGCTTGAGTTTCTGATTGACAATATCTATGTAGTTTTTTTTAGACCAGGTCTTCCAACAATCTATTGGAATTCCCATGGGAACCAATTGTGCTCCATTATTAGGAGACCTATTTTTGTATTCATATGAAGCAGAATTTATGCAAAATCTTATGCGTGAAAAGAACAACTTGCTGTGGCCTTCAATTCGACCTTCAGATATATCGACGACGTATTTTTAATTAACAATGGTAATTTCCATTCCTACGTCAAACTCGTAAATTAACTTACAATACCAATTGCGCTACGTTACTAGTATTAGCAGACCTTTGTTTATATGATGACACAAGAATATCAGCAGTCTCGTTTAAAGTCATCAATTATGTTCTATGGTCGATACAATGACCTTGTCAGCAAATACAATTATCATTGAGTCAAATGCTTACTGACGTTTTTCATACCAATTGTTAGTCCATTATTTATACACAGAATTGATGACTGATTTTCCCGTTATTTCACGATCATGACAAGGAGCACACGGCAGGTGTGACCGGTCAGCAGGGGATGCTCACTTCTCCATGGCACCTGATCCCACCTCTAATATATCGAAGGTCCGTGTTTTGTATTCTTTTATGGACTTTGATGTTGATTACTGTTCGTTATCTCCATCTCCATATCCTTCATTTAAGATTAAGTCACCCTATACTCAGCATTTCACGGATAGGATTTATGGATTGATTGTTTATGTTTGTTTAAAGTCTCTTTTGAGATTTTTTCACTTGTATTGGGAAACCAACACTTGCTGGTCCAATATTGAAAATTTAGACCTGTACTCGGCATTTATGGCGTTTTAGTAGCGAGGGATATTTTTGTATCAACTCTTACTGCAACAAGGGAGCTCGCTTTGTGCGGTCTCAACTGAAAAAGACCGATTTCAAGGTTTGTCACTGCTGTAATGATTTTCACCTTAGATTCCAAGAAAATTTTATTCCCTGTCGTTGTCCCCAGACGTCCGCTGACAGTGTCCCTGTTACCCTGTTACCACTGTATACCCACTGATTTCCCTGACATCTCAACTCCCGGATGAACCCCTGTCCTTCCCTGACATATCTCTGTGTTCAGAGAAGGGGAATAAATATGTTTTTGTTGCTGTTTAAGGGTGTAAAATACTATAGTAGTAGATTAAGTCAAATAAGTTAATATTTTTAATGCCGTTACTAAATTATTCGTTCTTTCTTTGAATAGTATTAATTGTTTAAGTTTTGTAGCATTGCGGGTAAATTTAATGGCAAATAAATGCAAGTGTATCTGAAGAACTGTATCATGAATGCATTTTAAAAATAATATTGTTTTTATTCAAAAATTAAATTAGTTTATCTACATTTTTGATCTGTTTACGTATGTAATTTTCATTTATTTTCCAAGTTTTTTTTCTATATAATTACTTCAGTCCATTTCAAAGTTGATATTTTCTCAAAATTTCTGAATAAGTTCATGACTTTTATATCGCTTTAACATTTCATACTAAGCTATAAAAATATATATTAATTCGAATATATTGAAACTTCGAAATTCTTCGCGCTTGATTGATACATCCTTGCATTTCAAAGAAAATTATTTTTATCCCTAATAACTAAGAAAAGTAGCAATTTTGTTGTGTATTAATGAAAAATAATTCACAAAATTTGGAGTAGAAATGTTCAAAAACAAATTTGAAGAACGTGACATCTGAAGAACATTAAATTTTATGGCACAATAAAAGCTTAACTGTTCCTTCTTCTTTGATTTGAAAAAGTATTTTCCCTTCTACATGAAAATGACCTCATATATATTTGGCAGAAAAATTCATTCTCGTTTTCTTCAAAACAGAATTTGTTTAAGATTTCATATTTCCTTTTAAAAAGTTACTTTATTTTTCTTTTATTTATTTTTTTTTAAATTTATTTATTTATTTTGTTTTCGAAGCTTTCCATTATAAAATTTGAACATCAAATAAATAGAGGATCCAGATATTGTTGATTGGATAATATGTTACTTCTGATTAGAAGATAAAATGAACATAAATATATTTTAAGCATGTTTTGATTAGTTTGATTGCTGCGGAACTACTGGATCCTATGGGTTTAGAAACCTCGTAAACACGGCAGGGTATGGACCTATTAGTGGATATCAACCACACGTGTGTTGCTTCGGTCAAGATTATGTTACAACTAAAAATCTATATCGAGTACAATGTGAAAAAAAGGTAAGCTTTATTATACCCCTCTTTTTGGGTTTTAAATGATATAAAGTAGTTCTTAAAAAAGCATGTATCCTTATATACAAATTATTACATACAAGAATAAATAATAAAATCAAAAATGCACATTTTAAAGAATCTCTGTTATATTTACTTCGGGGGATAAAAACTTTCCGTTTGATATATAAATGTCTTAACTGGGAAATTGTCTTTTAACAATGGTATTATGGTATATAATCCCTGTTTTTTGTGACCTTCATTTGCCTCTGCATCATCGATACTCATGCGAATTCGGGACCAAAGAGGGGTTTCGGATTGTTTTTGTGGAATTTTCATGCTATTTACCTTTTTATGTCTTTACCGCATTGTTTGTCGTCCGTCCGTCTGTTGATTCGTCTGTATACTTTTTACATTTTCAACTTCTTCTTAAGAACCTTCACCCAATTTTAACCAACAATGGTACAAATAATCCTTGTTTGAATGGAAAGTCCCCTTACAAAGAGGGATAATAAAATATTTTTAAAAATACCTATTTCTCTTTTTTAAAAATGGTGTACATGTAAATAATTTTCTAAAATATTAAGAGATTGTAAAATTTCTAAGATGTTGAAAATATCGTCTTTCTGCAACTATCCTTAAAAATATATGCAAATTCTTTATCACCCAATTTTGATTATTGTGAAACTTTGAATGAAAAATTAAAATCTTCATTTTACTGAAATAAACACGGCGCTAAAATCGCCATTTACAAAATTTTTGAGATAATTCTGTATCAACTATCCTTACGACTTACTATGAAGAAATCAACCGAATATAGACGTGCAAAAACGGGCCCTTTTTATACTGAATTTATTTTTATACAGCTGTTATAGTATTTACATATTAGCTTAAATACTTATTGAAATAACATAGTACGTCCCACACTGTAAAGACCCTTTGGTACAAGGATAAAGTGGTATAATTTCGACTGATTATAGGTTTTTTGGTACTAAAGTAATCAACTATGTCACTGTCTATTATGCTACAACTTTTACCCTTCCTAAGAATTGGAGAAATCATTCAACTGTAACAAAACATGCTCATATATCTTCTTTTGCCTTGACTATGTCCTCTCTTTAAGGCATGTGGTGATGAATTTGTGACTATTACAAACAGCTACTGCTATGGTTTGATAGCGTCTATGTCTATCACTTCATTTCTTGAGGTATGTAAACAGTGATCATATTAACTTCGATGGTTTATCTGTTGTTTTTTTTTTATACCTAACAGTTTTAAGCAGATTTTGTTTTTACCTAGATATCTCTAATTAATTAATTTAAATTAATCATTTGATTCATCTTAAATTAATTTTCCTTTTAGATAATCTGCGTTGTATCTTCCATACTTTACCTGAAAAACAATAAAATACAAAAAGAAAATCAATCCTTTTTGATCTTGCTAAAGTTTTTCATCATTGGGTGAGTTTTTGAAATCATTAAATTCCAATAAAGCGTGTTATGTATATTATACAGTACATTTTACAATGGAATAAGGATTGTTTGTTAAATTATTAAAACTGCAGAGTTCTTTTTAATTTAAGGAATTCAGAAGTGTCATTTAGAACGAGATTGATTGGATTCATTTGTTCATGTATTTTGCTGGTAAGTAAATGACGATTTAGATTGAGGTAAATGACGTAGATATTTGACAAACAAGATGATGGAAGAAGAATATCATTAGTCTCGTTTAAAGTCATTTCGTAAGTTCTATGGTCGATACAGTTACCTTGTCAGCAAACACATACAACTTATCAATGAGTCAAATGCTGAATGACGTTTTTCAATACCGATTGTTAGTCTATTATTTTTCACACTGAATTGACGACGGATTTTTTCATTATTTCCCGATCAAAGCAAGTAGCAAACGACGGTTGTGACCGTTCAGCAGGGGATGCCCATTCCTCAATGGCACCCGATCCTACCTCTGATGTTTTGGAAGACCGTGTTTGTTCTGTCCCTATTTTGTGTTGTTTTATGGACTTTTAACTCGAATGCTGTTAGTTATCGCTATAAAAATAAAAATATATTTCATTAATTTTACTTTAACAAGAGTGCTTCAATTATTTTCTTTTAAATGATAAACAATCATTTTTTCAGATGTTATCCCTTGGTGATTTTGCTGAAAGTACAGCATTTTTGTATGACGATGTATTTTCGAACAGACAAATCCAGCCAATATTTGAAAACATGTCTATGGCTGGAAATTCGTTTTCAAGAAATCTAATCATCATGAGATGGCTGATGAATACAACTGGAGTTCTCCTCTTTGTCACTTCTATATTTTCCATTCTAACTATTCATCAAGGATCAAAGTTTTTACACTCTATGGTAGGAAAAATTCCCGTTGGTCAGGTTTTTTTTAATTTTCAGAACAAATTTAAAGTTTACATTGTTATAATTGTCTGGTTTTTGTTTTTAATGTCTGATTTCTATTAGACGTATTTTTGCTTTGTAACAGAATATTTTGCTTTATGTCCTGGGGATTTCAATGATTCTAACGAACTTAGGATGGTGGATCGCAGTTCATGTTGAGGTATGCTAGTTGTGGTGCTAGAATTTTTATACCCCCTATTTTGGAGGTGTTTGTCCGTCCAAAACGGTTTTTAGTAAATGTCTTATCTGCAACTCCTATTATACCTAACTTCTTTTATATACAAAATATAAAGAGATTTTAACTTATTCTTTGTTACATTGTGCCATTGTGCATCTCTTTTCTTTACTTTTGACCAGACACATATTTCGGGTAACATAAACATTGTCACATCTATAATATTGAGGGGCTCTTATCTCTTATCCGCAACCCCTACTATACTACTGAATAAAGAAGATGGATGGATAAGGCGGGCGAAGTGCCTATAGTGTGACAGATAAGAAGTGAAAATTTTAATCTCAATTAAATCCAAATTTTATTTTATATTTCATCTAGTATTTAAGTATTCTTTATAAAAAACCTCTACAATTAATAAAAATATCACAAAAACAGAAAATATTAGCCTTTGAAAAAGCTTACACACACTAAAAAGTACAAAAACGATCATTTTCTCGTACTTTAACAAAATTTTTCAATTTGAGTGGGTCTTCGCTCCATTGTTTTTTTTAAGGAAGATCCTAAAAGTTTGCAATAAAATACACATTTTTTGGTTTAAAAAACATGGAGCGAAGACCCACTATACCTTAAAAGAACACTTTTATGACACAACATTCGCTTCTTTTCGAGAAATACTTCAAGTCCATTAAGTCGCCAGTCACATCACAAACATGATTTAAATGCTCAAAATCACCATAACTGATTTAGCATAGTGGTTAACGCGTTAGTCTCAAAGCAGTATGCTATTGATACGTCGGATTTTTATTGCTAGGGTTCGAATCCCACGAATACCATCTATTAATTTTATGAAGAAACTTTTTCTGTGAGATTTTTTTTCTCACAGAATATTTTTTTCTCATAATTTCGAAAAATTCAAAAATTAGAAGTTAATTGAAATACTCAATTCATATTCTGAATACGATTTCTTAATATCGGACGCTATAGGCATTCTGCCCGCCTTGTTCACCCATGTTCTTTAATGAGACTTTCACAGAATTTTTTTTACGTAGTGCCTCTGTGCACATCCATTTTTACTTTTGATCGGACACATATTTCGCTTTCAAATATCACAACACAAATTACTGCTATTCATTCTACGTGTATAATATTGAGGGATACCCATCTCTTATTTGCAACCCCTCCTAAACCACAGTATAAAATTAATGATACTTAATGATAATTCTACATTATGCACTTCCTATTTCATTTTTTATTGGACACCTATTTTGGGTCCTCCATGACTAAACGTGGAACTGCCATTATAAACGTATTGGCGGCGTTGGTATCATTTTGTGAGCCGAGGGCTAACAGTACCTCTAGCTTGTGTTAAGTTAGTGGAAACAGTTTCAGAATTCATACGAGAATAACTTCAACATGTTTCATTTTCACTTGGTTTTTTATTGATTTAATCATGAAATATTGACTGAATATGCATTAATTAAAAAATTTCAAAATACATAATGGTTTACGTACATGTTTCAGGATTTTCCAGAAGAATTCTTGAGAAAGTCCTATTCCTATTCCTACAACTACTTTTATTCTTTTTCAACTTATGGATACCATATGGACGAAAACGGGGCTTGGAACAACTTGTTTGTTAAGGTTAGAGCGACATTGGAAGGGTTCAAGTATCCGTAAAGAAGAACATCTAAGCATTTCAGGAAAAACTAAAATGTTTTAAGCATACCTTTAAAGTTGAACTTCTGTGTTAAATTTTTAACCTAAGTGTAAGGAGATATGAACACCCTGTTCTATACTAAAACAAATCAATCTCGGACAAATGTAATTCTTTATGTACATGTATGATCTGAGGGTTGATCCAAAATAAATGTAAAAATTCGATACAGTTGATAAAAGTCATTGTAAAACAACAAAATTTTAAACGATGAAACAAAATGAAACAATAAACAAAACAATGAAAATTTCAATTTTACTTAGATTTTTTTAAATGCATCTTTTGATATATTATTTGATAATATGGCGCCAAATATCAAAGATTTGTACACTGTTTCATTACTTTTGGATCAACCCTCGTATACTGTTACTTTTTCCTGACTAATAACAAACGCTCTTTTAAATGATAGATTGACATTAATTGAAATACCCAACCCACTTAACCATGTTTAGCTCATCTCAGCCGAAGGCTGAAAGAAGAGAGCTTTTCTAATCACATTTTTTTCTGGAATCCGTCTGTCCGTCCACCTGTCTGTCTGTATTATTTTTACATTTTCGACTTTTTCTCAAGCTATTTAGCTAATTTCAACCAAACTTTTTACAAAGTATCCTTGGGTGAAGAGGATTCAAGTTCGTTCAAAGAAGGGTCACACCCTCTTTCAAGGGCAGATAATAACAAATTAGCGAAAAATTTATGGCATCTTTTAAAATTATTCTCAAGAACCACAGGACCTGTAAAATCGAATGTGGAAACATTCTCAGGTAGTGTAGATTCAGTTTTTACTAATCATGACCCCGGGGTTTAGGGTGGGACCAGAATGGGCAATCAAAGTTTTACATAGGAATACATAGAGAAAATCTTTAAAATACTCTTAAGAACAGCAAAGCCATGCTTAAACATATATAAATGGAAATATTCTCATTTCCATTTTCTCATCCATGTAGTGTAGATTTAAGTTTGTTCAAATCATCAACCCCGGGATCTAGACGGTGTCACAATGGGTGATCAAAGTTTTAAATAGGAATACCCAACCAAATATTTAAAGATTTTGTTCTCAAGAACATCAAAACCATGATTGATCATATCAATGAAAAGCATAAAAATATTTTATCGCGACCCCTGGCGGTTAGTATGGGGCAAAATGGGAGATCAAAATTATACATATATGATAATGTTCGTTATCTCCATATCCGTCACATCGAAACCCAAAATGGTAAAAAAAAAATCAGAAAAATCACATGAGCTGATTTTTACCATCTTGTCTTTTCTCATGAGTCTCACTTGGCTTGGTTTATTATGCCCCGCCATGAATATGGCCGGGGCATATAGTGTTTGCCATGTCCGTCTTCCGTCCTTCTGTCCTTCCGTCTGTCCTTCTGTCACACTTTGCGTTTAGCTCTATTCAAAGCTAAGTTTCAAAGAAACTATCCAAGATATTTTTTTCAAACTTCGTATGCTGATAGATATTGATGAGAGCTATGCAACTGCATCAACATATTTTGACCTTGGCCTTTCCTTTGACCTTGACCTCACTTTTCTTAAATTAGTGTTTAGCTCAGTTTTAAACATACCATTCAAAATGGTGTTGTCAAACTTCAAATGTTGATACAAACTTGCACGGATGTTGCATCTCGGGATGAACACTACCAAACCTGCTTCGGATGCTGGATCTGACCTACATTTTCCAGATGAGTGACCAGGTTAAAGTTTTTGGAGCAGGTCCATTCCTAAGGAACTTTAAGCCCTACTTGGACCAAACTTGCATGGATGATGCATCTAGAGATGGACACTACTAGACTTGCTGAGGATGCTGGATCTTACCTACATTTTCCAGATGAGTGACCAGGTTCATTTTTTTTGGAGCAGGTCCATTTCCAAGGAACTATAAGCCCTACCCAAACCAAACTTGCACGGATGATGCATCTAGGAATGAACACTACAAGACTTGCTGAGGATGCTGGATCTGACTTGCATTCTCCAGATGAGTGACCAGGTTAAAGGTTTATGGAGCAGGTCCATTCCTAAAAATCTAGATGCCCTACTGGGACCAAATTTGCATGGATGATGCATCTAGAAATGGACACTACCAGACTTGCTTCGGATGCTGGAACTGACCTACCTTTTTATTCCCTAGTAACTATAAGTCTTACCTGAACCAAACTTGCATGGATGATGCATTTAAGGATGGACACCACCAGACTTGCTTCGGATGCTGGATCTGACCTATATTTTCATTCCCTTTTCATTCCCAAGTAACTATAAGCCCTGCCTGAACCAAACTTGCATGGATGATGCACCTAGGGATGTACACTATCAGACTTGCTTCGGATGCTGGATCTGACCTATATTTTCATTCCCAAGTAACTATAAGCCTTACCTGAACCAAACTTGCATGGATGATGCATCAAGGGATGGACACTACCAGACTTGCTGCGGATGCTGGATCTGACCTTTATTTTCCAATCAAGCAATTCAGCTGCATCACTATTCAAGATATTCAGATCAAATTTTATACGCATACAAATTTTTATGTTGCTTTACAAATATATCCTCGGCGGCGCATTCATGTCCTATGGACAAATATCTAGTTTTTTTTTAGTTTACATTACACTTAGTTTTAGTACCAAGCTTCACATTCTGAAATTAATTTTTTTTCATCTATAAACTTTAAAGGTGCGATTTATCCATATTTGTAATGTTTTAAGCATTACATGTAACTAATATTTTCCCGGTTTTTTATTTTCCAAGTCTTAGGAGAAAATTTCAAAGAATTATCCACTTTCCTAAACGTGATATTGAGTTTCCTTCACTGAAAAGAAATTGTTTGTATCATCTGTCCATAAATCGAATTTATCAATGTTGAACTGATTTCTTCTTTTTTATAGACAAATTGCTCAGGTGATCGATAGGGGCCTCTTGTTTTTATGTGTTCCACAAACTTTAAAAAGGGGATTAAGTGAAAATTTAATTTTTACATTTTTTTCTAATGTTTTCAAAACGAAATGTGATATTTAAAGATATTTCATCTACCTACTCTTGTTTATTGTAGCTCAAGTGTTGTGGATATACAAATGGCAACGAGAGTGACTTTAATTCTGTTTTTATGGATGGTTATATTCTGTATAATAATAATAGAGTATCTTTGTTTTGTTGTCATTCCAATCCCTTGACTAAGGAGTTCAATTTTGAATACGCATCATGTACTTCCAACGGAGGGGAATCCTATAGATATACAGAGGTACATATTTATATTATTGATTAATTGAATCGAACATATTTTATTGACAAAGAGTCAAAAGGATTAAACACAAGTTCAAAAGTCTTCTCCTAGTACAACATTGTTAATATTGCAAAAATATGTATGATCTACTTCATCAACTTAGTAGTAAAAAAAGATTTTTACAATGGTAAATTTAAAAAAAAACCGGCTGCATTCATTAAAATTTCATTTACAAAACTTGAAATATTTTTTTAAATATTCAGCATTTTATTCATTAGTAAGAAAATCGTCTACCCATAGAAAAGAAATGTACATCAACAACATATAAAATATTAAATAACAGTAGCTTATATATTCAGGAATTCGTTACTTTCGTGTGATTTTTACAAGCAAAAATCAAATGGTATGCGTCTTCTAGTAGTCTAACTGAGCAAGTTGGACTGGTTATTAAGGTGTTTCCACCCTCACAATTTAAATGGTTAAAAGTACAAAAACTGCAATTATTTTCATTTTCTTTAAATATACTTTAAATTTTCCAATTATTGCAAAAAATGTATAGATCACCATATTATTTATGATGCGAAACTTGAATAACAGAAGTGTATGTCAACATGAAAAATCGCAATTTTTTTGTAAACAGTATTATGAAAAATATGTAAAAACTGGTTAAAATGCATCATTCTGATGCTGAATGTTTCTAAATACTTCCTACATATAAGATACACTGTACTTTTGAATTGTGGATATCAGGGAAACTAGTTTACATTAGAAGTACAATAAAGCAAATGACTAGATGAAGAGACCTTAGAAGGCGTTATTGTCCTTGCCAACATTTTTTAAAGATTAAATAATTGATTAAATAATTAAAAGAAAATATGCATTTTTAAAATTCTTTTACTTAACAATATTTATTATTACACCTATTAATAGCTGCAGAACTGTAGCTCTCCGAAAAAATATATATTGATAGACCGGAGAGCTACAGTGCGACCCATTGAAAAAACTGTATATTTATTGCGCACAAAAAAGTGCGCTGTTTCTGGATTAATTCCTCCAAAATCTTGCCTCAATTGCAAAAAAGCTAGATTTCAATAAAGTCCTTACTCGTCTATCATTTCTTATTGTAGTGTACGAAGCGCGCTGGACCGAATTATCTTGCAAACCAAAATGGCAGTACAAATAGGCAAAATTTTCGATGATTTCAATTTCAGGACCAGGAGGGCTATTAAGAACAATTATAAGGATTTTTTGTTGTGGAAACAGTGAAAGAATATGTTGGAAACACACGATTAGTAATATTTTGAAGTGACAGTTTTAAAAACATGGAGAAATAAATCGAGAAACAGTGCACTTTTTCGTGCGCAATAAATATACAGTTTTTTCAATGGGTGGCATTGTAGTTCTACGGTCTGTCAATATATTTTTTCGGAAAGCCACAGTTCTGCAGCTAACCTATTAAAAAACATTCTTCCAAAAGATACTATTCTATTAAGTATGATTATAAACTAATTAATTTTTTTTTTTTTTAAAAACCTATGACATCATAGGAGGGTGGAATTACCTTAAGTTACAGCTAAGACTGTGATGGTGCAAAATATTTGTGCAATAGTTCAGTCATCTATGTCTGAAAATGGAAAATTTCATAGCCATATTATTAATATTACCTTGAATTTTTAGAAGGGGGGTCAGTAAAATTAGATTGATCAAACAAGCATCAGAGTCGCGTTTCACAAAACTATCGTAAGATTTGTCCTAAGATAGATCTTACGATCATCTTAAGATCTGACTTATGACAATCATAAGATTTGTCACTGCTGTTTCACAAAACTATCTTAATTATAAGAAATCTTAAGACAAGTCTTAAGACATGCATATTCCATATTCTTCAATATCACAGGGATTTTAAAAAAGTTTTCACGAGGTCTTTCTTGAATTTTCTTTGAAATATTAAAATAATGTGTGTCATATAGTTTCTTTTGAAGATAAACCCTCGAAAAAAAAATATTGCATCAATTAAAGTTAATGTACTCTGTGTGTGTGTTGGGAAGGGGAAGGGGTCATTAAAATTAAATTTGAGTTAATTTCATCACATAAAATTAATAAAATTCGCTGAAATGTCTTTTTGCTCGGGAAATCGAAGTTTTTACAAAATGCATGTGATCAATTTTAATGAAAACTACTACTGTATCTGAAGCTTTGAAAATAATGAAAGATTCTTTTCAATTACATGTAATCCATTTGAAAAACCAAATTGTGTTCAGAGTTCGTTCATAAAAATTTTCACAAAAAATCTTACAACTAAGAGCAAAACTTCTCCCCATTCTACAACATTATTTAAGCTGTGAAAATCTTCTAATTTTTCTATTACATTACAGAAGTATTTTATGAATAAATTTGATTCAATTATTTAGAAAATTATTATTTTTTTTATCTAATTAAAAAAAGAAAGAAAATGTGGTAAAATTTAAGTCTTACAAATGTAGTCGTAAATTTTTTATGTCTTTGAAAGGCTTCAAACACTGCAACAAATTAACAATGCTAACAGATGAAGAAGAGAAACAAAAGAAATGTCATACACTTGTCAAATCCATAAAAATACACATGGTCCAAAGCAGCATTTAAGGGTTTTGGGGGGTGCAAATCAGTTGGGAGGGGGCACAACCAAAGAAAATGTCTCGAAATGAATAAAGTGGAAATACATAAAGTAGGTACATTTTAGTTTTCCAATCGTATATTTTTTGGCATTTTTTTTTGGGGGGTGTGGTGGGAGTGTCATTGTTCTGATTTAAACAATATTTATTCAGTAAACTTAATAGATTGAGCAATAGGCTTAAGCCTATAAATACCCTCTCCGGATATAGTCCAAAGGATTGTTCTATCTCTAAAAACCGTTTTCTCTAAATATCCTTCGGTTTTTGGCCAAAATACATACTTTCGCAAGTTTCACTTTAGACTTAAGACATGTATCTAGTTGTCTTAAGATTATGATAGATCTTACGATTATCATAAGATATGACAGTTTTGTGAAACGGCTATGGTGCAATCTTACGATAATTTTCGGTCTTAAGACAGATCTTAGTCATAAGATAGTTTTGTGAAACGGGCCCCAGAATTATAGAATTTCTTATCTCTGGTCGTCTTCCTAAGTACATGTATACCAGTATTCCATATCTCAAAAACCACAATTATTTTTCTCTTGAAATTGTTTTTTTAAGTTTCTTCTTTGGTAAATATTTGTCTTAAATATTTTTCTATTTCATACATAACTTACATGTATATTGTGGCCATAGGTTTCTATGCATGGGTTTTGGAAAATTACTTGATCCTAAAATAAGGGTAAATGCATTTAGCAGCTATTCTACTTATGTTAAATTTATTTTTAATGTTTAATGTCCTCAAATTAAATTACTGGAGTTTTATGAAGAGACTTACATTTACATTCGACAGCTGACTTTTACATTTTAGTTATTGGATTTTGTCTCTATTTAAATTGTATAAGTCAGTCGTCGATTGTAAAAGTAAATCTCTTCATAAAACTCCAGTATGTTGTAATTTATAGGCAGCAAATAAAAAGAAATTATTTAAAGGAAAATGAAATGTATATGTAAGGAGAAAAATATTCAAATACAGCTCGATACAATTGCTGATTGTACTGGAAGAACTATACGATAGCACAAAATTATTTTACAGCCCTGTTACACAAAGCTGTCCGAGAGACTTACAAAGTATAGTACTGCCTTTTACACTATTGCGTCACTCAGCATAATATTAGAGGTAAGTTGAGTTACTTTAATTCTTCTTATAATGAATGCCTAATTGATGCTGAATAGGAATTCAAACAGATTGTTGAAAGATCTGACCTCCAAAATCTACTTAAATATTGTCAATTAAAAACTTTAGTGTTTTGATATCAACTTCGGAGTACTTACGTGTTCATTCAGAATGTTTTAACAAAATAATTTTGAAAGTGACCAACGACAAGGCAAGTTTTTTTTACGAGTTTCATTGACTCACCTGAGCCAAATACAGGTTAACTATAGTATTTTTGTAAGGACGGATTTGTTTAAATTGACCTCAAAATAGATCATGTTTTCAAAACATTGTCAATTTAGTTCAGATTGGTTTTATTATTTTTTTTTTTTAGCTAAATGGATTATAATATCATACGAGGAATGATCCAAAAGTAATGTCACAACTTTAATAAAATTGTTATAAATCGACGTAAAACAACAAAATTACATACGATGAAAGCTTTATTTATTTCAAATCAGAGTTGAAAAAATCAAAGAAATATGATTTATACTTTCCAAAATATCTGATTTTAAACAATGTGCGTTTATGGTAGTCGCCGCACCTAAATATAACGTCGTTTGACGGATACGCGTCGTCATACTTTTAAGCGTTTCCCCTTCGTTACTTTAAAGAATATTTGTGATTCGCAAACTCTTTCACCAATTTCACTTTCTTTAAGAATTCTTGGTACCATCAAACACTCATTCTCTTCATAATTAACCCTCTTTCATTTTTTTTTAACAGTAGCATACGGCAAATTTAAAAATTCACTCTATCCGTCTGTGCTTTTTTGACAGCGTCAGACACCATTTTAACGTTTCCCTCCGATCTCCTATCTTTCGGTCTTTTTGTCTTCTGCTGATCTTTCAATGACCAATCATCCACCCAAAATTGCTAAAACCATCTATAAAAAAGTATCTTGCTTACATTTCTTTATTCTGTGAGTCTAATTAAATAACGAAAGTGTCGTTAGTGATGATTCCCATATTTTGGAGCAAAGATGCATTACAACTCATCTAGGCGTTTTCTTCCATTTCGACAATCCCTTTGTTCAATTCAAGAGAGTAAAACAGCAATGTTTATAATCACAAATACCAATTTCGTCATTTAATTTTCAATTAAAGACTAGAAAATGACTTGAATTGTGTCTTTTAAAAAAATGAGAGATTTTGTGCTTTTTTAGAATCTTTTAAATGTTTTTGTATTTTTTCATTTTTAGAAAAAATACACTTTAAAATGTGACGTTCAGTTGTGACGCGGCGACACCCCCTAAGCTTTATGTTTTAAACATCTATAGAAAAAATTTAAATAAACACTATTAAATAAAAATTTCAATATTTATTAGATTTGTATTTCTGCATCTTTTGGTATTTTGTATTTGATAATATGACGCCAAATTTAAAAGATATGGACACTGTGACATTACTTTTGGATCAACCCTCGTACAAACAAAAATAAACAATAAATAACTAGTATTTTATTTTTAAAATTAAATTCATAATAAAAAATACAGAATACAAAATGTAAAGCGCACGGATCCATAAAAATTTTATAGATGCATTGCCCTGAAAATTTTAAGATTATTTTTTTTTTGGTAAAAATTTGGGGGGGGGGGGATAGCAATTGGTATTAAATAATAATAATAATAATAATAATATGTCTTCATAATAACATATAACTGTATTCTTAAATAGTTATACAATGGATTGTTGTTTGATTCCCATAACTTAATATTTGGTGTTCCTTCAAATCTTAAACTCTTTGCAATTGTAAAATTCCACGGAAAAGTTTCAATATGTAAATGTGAAATTCTTCGAAATTTGTCGATTACTTAAAATTTACCTTTACCTGTATTTAGAATGTAATAAAACAGTACAGATGATTCCGAATTCAAAAAGTTTTCATTCATCCAATTAGAACTTTTATCTTGCAGGTTTTTATGCTTATAATTCTTGGTATGCTGATAAAGACAGATCCTTCATTAAAAGAAGATTCTTTTATGATTAAAATCAAATCCTACTTTGAAAAAGACAGGTAATATGCTTTAATGAACTCATTGATTTACATGTTTTTGTTTGTTTATAAACTCCTTTATAGGATAAGTATTATTTAGAGAACGAGACAGGTTCTGTATCGTAGATACAAATTGGGGTGTGGAAGCACGAGTCTCCACCCCCAAATTTGTATCTACGATACAGAACCTGTCGAGTTCTCTAAATGATTTGTGACACGATCAGTCAAAAACAGCTCCTCCCACTCTATAACTTTTGCAGCATCCAAACTTCCGCCAGAGTTCTGTAGATGAGGCCCCGACGTGGAGTACGCATCCGCAGTATATATATTTCCAAGGAAAACATAAAAGTTGTGACATTTTAACGGGGTAGACGTAATCAAGTGATAGTCAGTCTTAATGGATAAGGTGGAGGATTTAATCGTCATTGTTGTGATCTATTGTAGATGGAGATTGATTATAATATTATTTTTGTCACCCAATTTTTTCCATAACTAAATAACTTTAAATTTCATTCCATATTTTGTTTCCATAAAATACCTTTTATATTTGTCAACATGAAATATCCAGTTATGTTCTCCAGTGAGTCTGAGTTCATTTGCAATGAAAGACAAAACAACTTCTTCTTGTGAGAAAGGTCATTTATTCAATTTACCATAAATATATTTGATCAGATGATGAAATAAATGTCAAACATTGATTAACCAAAAATGAGTGAATAAATGACAATAAATTTGCAAATATGTTATCAATGATGAATACATAATTATAACAACAGTATCTCATTACAAAAATTTGCTACCAAAAATGTTTTTATTTACAATAAAATAGGTTATATTTCAGGGGTCTTAAAATCCCTAGATTTACAAAAACAGGATTTACAGAAAATCCTTCGATGGAATTCGTTGTCACGGATTTTTATTTTCTAATTGATTGTACATTAAAACGGAGTGATTTCAGGAGACGTGTGGCTGTCGTAAGCGAAAATCTAGTTAAACCGGGATTTTAAGACCCCTGAAATATATTATGATCAATCTCCATCTACAATAGATCACAACAATGACGATTAAATCCTCCACCTTATCCATTAAGACTGACTATCACTCGATTACGTCTATCACGTTAAATTGTCAAAACTAATCTGACCGAATTTACGTTTTCCGTGAAAATATAGATGCTGCGGTGGAACTTTGGATGCTGAAAGTTATAAAGTGGGCGGAGCTATTTTTGATTGATCGTGTCACAAATCATTTAGAGAACTCGACAGGTTCTTTATCGTATCGCACTCGTCTCCACCCCCAAATTTGTATCTACGATACAGAACCCGTCTAGAAAGTAAAATTTTTGCCAAAAAATCGAAAGTTTTATGACAGGAAGGAACTAGAATCAGGGTTCATATGCATAAAAAATATAAGAATGTTTATTAAGTATTATACTTATTCCAAAATCAAATTGCTTAACTAAGAAACATACTTTTAGTTTCATGCATAAAAATTCTAAATGCTTTACTTAGAATATACTTAACAGAATAAAAAATTTTATGCATATGAACCCAGGAATCCACTACATTAAATGTCTTCATGACAGCGTCCAAATCCACACGCCTTGAAGTGTAAAGGAGTTTTGGGGATAAACAAAAAGTTATTGTTTTGTCACACCAAAAATATTCGCCAGGTCTTTCACCCTTCGACATGTTTCATTTTCCAAAGTTGAAAAAAAAACACCTCTCAGAAAAAAAAACAAGTCCAGAAAATCATAGAATCTGTCATATTCCAGTATACGATTGAGGTCTAAAAGCAATCAGACGTTGGATAAAAGTGTTAGGACGGCAAATTTTCATTTGTCTCTGTTAGATTCACTGTAGAAATTCATCGTATTTTGAGGTTGTGCCACGTGGTTATTCCATTGCTTACGAAAACATTGACAATTAATTCAAAGTATAGTTTTTGCTGTATTCCTTAATATTTTTTATTTATGGCGCTAGTCCACGAACTTTTCAATATCCCCTCGGATATAAAAATATCAGAGAAAAATTAAGAAAAGTAGACCCCTCCTCCTCGATAAATTTGTAATTAACAATATCCATTTATATTTATTACTTAAAAAGCATCATATGACACGTTAATTCATGAAATGATACACTGTTCACTGAACTTTTAAGCTTTGTTTCTACAAGGTATAATCCAAAATGATGGATTGTTTTATTTACTTGTGGTACAGTTGTAGCGAATATTACTGATAAAAAAACAGCTTGAGAAAGTGTCATGTGGAGATTTTCCTTAAATAAATAATCAGTCTTAAGAATTTCTTGAATTTCAACAACATGTACAAGAAAGTAAAATGCATTGAATTTGTAGCTAGGGTTTTGTAATTTAAAAAAAAATTCTGATGACTAATCTAAACTATTTTCGCATCATTTCTCCAGGACATTTTCTTGGGAAATGATATAAATTAATGAAAGTTTCTGTCAGCGTTCATGTTCTTATCTATAAGTGAAGACAAGGTTCCTGAAAAACATTACTATATGCATATAATTTCGCGAAATAACGCGAAAGTTTTGCGTTATATCGCGAAAGTGGCAAGCAGCTACGCTATTTGTGTAGGCAGTAGGCGTCACCTCTATAGTATTTTTTTTCTATTCTATGGTCGTTATAATGACCTTGTTAGCCAATATATCATTGGATCACCCGTCAACGAGGATGCTTACTTCTCCTAGATTTCCTATGGAGTTTCCAGTCGCCTGTATTTTAATCCTGCGTCACATTTTTGTATTGTCTTTAGATTTAGATCACTGTTCGTCATCTTCACCTCTTTTATTTTCAAAAATTTTAAACTGAGAAACTTCTCGACTGCGTAATATTAGATTGTGTGTTGTTGTATATTTTCGGAAATGCC